TAATGGAATTCCAAACTACTGAAGCGTATTCAACCTTGGATCTAACTAAAGTAAAATATAAAATGAACATGCATCCAAGGGTTGAATAGTTAAATGTGATACTGCGAATTATACCTAGCATCTTAATACACTGCGAAAATATAAAATTAACATGATCATGAAAATGAAGTTTAGAATCAAGGTATACACCCAAGTTTTTGACTGAATATGTTCGAGTTATAGTGAAATGAAGAAGTTTGTATTCGTATATCAAATAGTTAGTTTTCCTAGAGAACGTTATAACTTTGGTTTTGTCAGCATTGAGTTTCATATAGTTCGCTGCACACCAGCTACATATACAGTCAACGTCAGATTGCAGACAGCTAATAGCATGGTAAATGTTAATGTCATCTGCAAAGAGTAGGTACCTGGAGTGCTTAATTGAATCACACAAGTCGTTTATGTAGACATTGAAAAGCAGAGGGCCAAGAACAGATCCTTGTGGAACACTGGACAATACTTCAAACGGCGATGAAATAGTTTCACCAATACGGACCCGCGATTGTCTGTTGGTTAGGTAACTACGTATCCAGTTTACATAACCACCAGAAAATCCAAGGGCACTCAGTTTGTGAAGAAGCAAAGAGTGGGGAACGAGGTCGAAAGCAGAAGTTAGGTAAAAATAAATGGCATCCACTTGATGTTGAGAGCCAACTAGGGGAGTAATAAAATCAAGATACATTACTAGATTGGTGGTGGTGGATTTACATTTTTACTGACAGGTGCTTTAATAATAAGGATCAGAATTTTACATTTGGGCCCCTATTGAGTGTACTGTTACTTTTCTAAAGTTGCCAATTATGCAGCTTTATTTAGGGATGTGGTCTCCACAATACAGTGAAGTCTGATCAGAACTGTTTGAGCAGTTTTCAGGAAAGTCACCATTTTGTGTTGGGCCCCTGTTTTTGGAGCTATGTTTATATGCACCAGCACTGACCTATGGTGGACAAGCTGTTAAATAGCTAATGTGAATAAAACCATCTAAACATTCAGGAGCTAATGAGGTGCACATACATACATGTACATACAAACAACCAGACAGCAACATTCTTTTGCATTTAGGGGGGCCTGAAAACCTGTAAATCCATCAAAATCTCAACATCGGTTGTTTTCACGATCACCGAGCTTTCCCATATACCTATATGAGAAGGTAATAATAGTTCAGAATGACTGTACAACCTTTCAAAATGTAAGTCCCATTAAGAACTGGTACCTTATTATGAGTTATTATTAACTGTAACTACTGTGATGTATGTGTGAGGTGTTGTAGCTTATCTAACAACACATTACACGCTATAGAGGTTACTTAATGTGTAATGGTATCTGAGTGTGGTGAACTTGAATGGATAGAGAACAAATCAGCTTTCCCCATTTCAAAATATATCCTGGCATTCACCTGGAAGGACTGAATAAAACCACAGAAAACCTCAGGATAATAATGTACTATCAAAGATTCACACCAAGTACTTCCCAAATACAAGTTAGAAGCATTATTGCTTGTGCCAGCTTGCTCAGTCATATCTGATAAAATATGTAAACAGAATGCAATAAATATTTATAAATATATTAAACTACTCTTGAATTAGTCTTAAAGTTTTAATAATATTTTTGTGTCTTATTTTGTAATTGTTATGATTGTCCAACTGATTTTCTTTACTGTGTATCCCTGAAGGAAACACATTTGTAAACTAATTAACAGATCATCAGAATTGCAACCTTACAAGATTAAATGTTGTCTAACTCTTCACAAATGAGATGTTGATTTATCCCTTAATTTGCAGATTTATCATTATTTTTGAGGAGCACTTTTTTCCCATTTTCTAAACCTTGGAAGTTGTTCTTAACTTGGTAAGCCCCACATTTGGGTGTAGAATAGTATAATACTTCGGCTGATATGCCTTGTGAAAAAAAAAATCTGGAGATAGACTGCATCATAAAAGAGGTTATATACTTAAACCTTTTCGTGCTATTCACAAGACATCTCACATAGAAACCATTCTGATTAGAATTTATTTATTTCAGAAGATCAGTGAAAGAGATGTGTCTGAATTTGTCTCAATATTTGTTGCTGTTCATAGCATTTCAACATCAGAAATTATAAGTTACCTCGAAAATATGCCAACAGAAGATGTCTTTAAAAATAAACTGTAAAAGGACTAAGTATTGTTAGCTTTCTGGATTTTGTGCATTGTCAGATATTCTAAAATAGAACAGAGTTTTTTGGGAACTGGATCTGCTAGCTTATATCATCTTATTTTATTGTCTTAGGTTGAGTAGGTTGGCTAGTGATCAGGATCTTTCTGATGGACCCAACTGAATAGCCACTGCCTACCTGAGGACTGGAGCAGATGCAGTTCCCTAAACATAGAGTTCCATTTTAGAATACTGGACAATTCATGAGTTGAGACAGCCAGTAATACCAAGTGTAATACACCATTGCCAAACGAAACGTATAGTAAAGTCCATGTAGGTAAACATTTGTCTGATAAATTTCCTATCCAGAATGGTCTAAAACAAGGAGATGCTTTCTTGCAACTCCTTTTCAACTTTGCCTTAGAATATGCAATTAGGAAGGTCCAGGGAAACCAGGTGGGACTGAAATTAAACGGGACACATCAGCTGTTGGTCTATGCCGATGATATGAATCTACTGGGTGGTAATGTAGATACCATAAAGAAAAACACCTTTAATTGATGCAAGTAAAGAGGTTGGTCTAGAAGTAAACACAGAGAAGACTAAGTATATGTTACTGTCTCATCACCAAAATGCAGGGCAAAATCACGACATAAAGATAGGAAACAGTTTTGAAAATGTGAGACAGTTCAGATATTTGGGAACAACGATAACAGATCGAAACCTGATTCAGGAGGAAATTAAGAGGCGATTGAACTCGGATAATGCTTGCTACCATTCAGTCCAGAACCTTATGTCTTCTCGTCTGTTGTCCAAAAACATAAAAATTAGAATATACAAAAGTATAATTTTTCCTTTGGTTCTGTATGGATGTGAAACTTGGTCTCTGACATTAAGGGAGGAACATAGACTGAGGGTGTTTGAGAAGAGGGTGTTGAGGAGAATATTTGGACCAAAGAGAGATGAAGTCACAGGAGGTTGGAGAAAACTGCATAATGAGGAGCTTCATAACTTGTACTCTCCTCCAAGTATAATTAGAATGATCAAGTCAAGGAGGATGAGGTGGGCAGGTCATGTAGCACTAATGGGGGAGACGAGGAATGCATATAGGATATTGGTGGGAAAGCCAGAAGGAAAGAGACCACAGGGAAGACCAAGGTGTAGGTGGGTGGACAATATTAGAATGGATCTTAGAGAGAAAGGATGGGATGATATGGATTGGATACATCTGGCTCAGGTCAGGGACCAGTGGAGGGCTCTTGTGAACACGGTGATGAACCTTCGGGTTCCATAAAATGCTGTGAATTTCTTGAGTAGCTGCAGAATTGGTGGCTCCTCAAGAAGTGCTCAGCTCCATGAGTAAGTAAGTAATACACCATTGCCAGAGTTTTTTGGAGCTGATTTACTAAAGGACTAGTGTGGAAAAGTTTAAAGATATTTTTATGATGTGGTAAACTTACCATCATTATCATGCATGTGCTCTCTCGAACAGCTCCATAACATCCAAAGGCTGCTACTAGAAACACAATGCTTCCTATGGCAATGAGCAGTGTTGCTGGAGAGTAAAATCTGTCTTCCAAGAGGGTGTCAAAATTGTTGTAGATAGCTTTAATGGTGGCACCAACACCACTTATTAATATTCCAGTTATCTGCAAACATACACTGCATTTGACATAGTTTAAAGACTTTTTAAAAAAATGCTCTTCTTTATTGCTTGTGTGTTTTGCATCTAATCCTAGGCATCTGTAAAAATACCGGGATGACTCTATGACTTCTTGATGGAGTCCTTTCTTAGCAAATCCCATTTCAAACATCAATTATGGTGCACTTTACACATCAGAAACTGCAATAAGCTATCAATAATTGATTCCACCATCATGGAAATGTCAGATTTATGATTTATTAGTTGATCACAAAGATGGTCTTACATCATATAAACATTGGAATCATGGGTGTAAATACCCATGGAGGATGAGTGTTTATGTACACTTTTATTTACATCAAATCAACCCCACTGTCACTGTAATTCTTCCCATTCTCAATTTTGAAACTCTGTGGCCTGCTAGTTTCCATGAAAATTAAATATGACATAAATCATGGGAAATGGTTCTCAGTATCAAGTAAACCCAGGGTACTGAATAAATGATATTTTCAGAAATAATTACAGTAGAACTTGGTTATAACATCATCTAAGGGACCTAAAAATAGTGTCGTTATAAACGAATGTCGTTGTAACCGAAGTGGGCACTTCCACAGTAGCCTTATGTTAGCCACGTAAAAATCTACCAAAAACAGAGTTAAAATGTTGCATTTTTTAGTGAAATACGTAGTTAAGTACAGACTAACGTAACATTAACGTGGAATTAATATGGATTCTCCATATCGTTTGTACTGTAGAATTCACCAAACCAAATTCGCGGCATACATCAGCTTTTTTCCTTCCATTTTCTATTTCACGAATCACTTTAACTTTCTCTTCAATGCTTAAAACTTTCCTTTTCATTGCCATGTTTTCGCTACTGCACTTCTCTGGGTTTAGGCAGGAACACTATAGGGTAAGTAGACAATGTGAGGTCCTGTTAGACGAGATTCTAAGAAAGGAATGCAGTTAACAACCTGCCACGTCCTCTTGCACTATTCATGCAGTCCCACCCCATACCCTTGTTTTCACATAAAACCCACGCTCCTCTTGCAGCCCGCGGTCGTATTCTTCCAGGACAGTCACGTCAGCAAGTAGAGAAAGTGAGGGTGGGCAGACACATCGAACTTTCCCACGATATCAGAGAAATTCAGGAATGAAAATGACGTTACATACGAGGTTGATGCATTTGTGCATGTCGTACTAAGCAAGGTATAAAAACAGTTGCTTTATGAGGAATTAGTTCGTACCATTGAATATTTGACGCAATAGACAAGGTGTCGCAGAAACCGATGTTGCTATAACCAAGTTTTACTGTATATATAATTTGCATATAAATGAAACAAAATAATCTACTGAATAAATTCGAATCATTGTAAAAAATATACCACTAAAACAGGGAATGAAAATTCAAAATAATGCAGTTTTTTTATGTTTGCTGAAATATGGTACATAGCAATTAAAAGGTGTTTTGTAATTTTGGTAGCCATATGACTGTAATTTATGTAGATTTTGAGGACTGAAATATTCTACATGATATTCCTCATTTTACATTCTGAGAGAACAGGGATATAGTGGTCTCAGGATAATATACTGGCCTCTTGTGACAATTTTGTTGGGTTTTACTGATGCTCTCTGGATCAAGTGCACTAATTGTCATAGAATTCAGAACTCTTAGTACCCACAAAACCTACTCCTCACATCTGACAAAGTAAAACATATAAGTGAGGAATAATAGACTCCTACACTACTTAACAGTCTACATTAAGTTGCAGGCGCCGTGTGCCAAACATTATTTTCATCATCATTCTGACATCAGAGGTAAGCAAAATCTCACTTTGCAAGTACTCTTCCACCAATGACACCGACAGAGTATCATGTACTTGTTTATGGTGCAAGGCAATTAATGTAGGTCTTGAAATTTTGTTTGAAAGATCTTAAAAAATGTGTATTTGTCCTTGTATTTGATAGTAATAACCAGTGAAATACAATGCCTATAAATGTGAAGTTTTATATGAAGATAAAGCATAAACTTATTGACAGATAAAACATTCTTTAATGCTAACAATTTCAAACTTTGTGACAGTAAAATTCTGAACTTACACTTCGCAAATTTCATATAAAGTAAATCCATTATATTATTGGACATTACAGCAGTAAATCATGAAGTTGCATAATTATTGATGATTACTCTTGCTGGCCTTTTATTATGATGAACGCCTTTAGAGGGAAATAGGAATCATACATAAGTCCTTTAAGGACCATTTTGATAAGTTGATTCAATCATAATGTGTTCAAATATATAATCTCAGTACAGGAGATTTCAGCATTGTACTCTGGACCACATTTCCCATGCTAGCAGATGTGTTCTATAACTACCATACATTATTCATTTTCATATGCAGCATTAGTAGATTTACCTGTTACTCACTTATCTTGAAAAGAATGCTTAGTCACAATCTTACCTTGAGCTCCATCACATACAAAAGATGGTGTGGTTCAACTCATAAATTTGATCTTTCCTATTCTTTTAAGGAATTATAATGTCATGAATTTTAAATTTTAAAATTAAATTTAGTTTACTAAGCACCTCTGTGTCCAAGTAAATTCATCTGGTAATTATTCTAAGTACCTAGTATTTGAGGTTTTCAAGGTGGTGAAGATTTAAATTGTGGTCTCATGGCTTGTGACACCTATAGTGTGGCAGATGGTTACCAACATTCTGAAGAACCTATTACTTTAACTTTCTGCCCTAAATATGGATGTTGCAAATTTCTATGATAACCACCTACTACCAGAATACATGGTGTCACAACTTAAAAGCCACATTTTAAATATTAAAGACTGTAGCCGTCAAGTTAAGTGTAATGATGACTTCTGCTATACAGAAATTTCTCTTGGGCAGCAGCTAATGAAACTTGTGTTTTTGATGCTCATTACTCACTCATGTCAAAAATAGCCAAATTATGAGAATTTGGTCAAAATCAGACCAGCTTTTATTTCCAAGTTTTCATAAAATGTACAGTCAAATGGATAAATATTGGTTGCACACTGTCTTAGAAAAGGTAAAGTTGCACATGTATTGAAGCACCACAACATGAAGATATATGCCACAGAGATCCATACAGTCTAGACCTCAGTGCTACATCATGGTGACTGGTCAGCTTCACACTCATATTGTTTTATTCACCTCTGGGCAGAGCCCAGCGTGGGACCTAGCGCTGGTCTAAGAGAAAAATATCTGTCCCTGCTAGAAATCATGCCACAGTTCTCCAGTCTGTTCCTATTGATTCTACTGATTGACCTAATTTCAAATAGACTGTTCCATGCCTTAAGAACCACAGCAAGATGTATGGTGGAATGGATTTAACTTCACCCTCTTATGTACTGGACTGGGGGCTGGGTAGGCTTCAGTTCTACTCTGGATGTGGTGATGAGGAGAAATATTGCTTTCTCCTCACTTCTGTTGGTACTACTACTACTACTGAAGCTGATGTTACTGATAGTACTATGAAAGAACAAGTTGCATCAGATATTGCTGTTTATGACTTCGTTGATGATGCTTAATGTACCAGAAGGATTTCAATTTTATGTATTGTGGAATTAACCCTTTGCCTTGCCATTTAAATTCCATTTATACTGATGCTATGAGGCCAGTTCATTTAGCATATTAAGCATGACAGAGGATTCTTAAGTTTGACATATTCTACTATGTTAACTGCTACATATGATTCAATGTCTAATATGAATAAATTTTATTTTAAATTAGCAGAAAAAATTATACTTGTTAATTCTTTTCACAGCTTCAGAATTTAAGACACCCTCTTTGAAACTACTATTTATGCAATGCCCATAGTACATCATCAGAAAACATCTCTTTTGTTTATAAATGTAATGATAATAGACTCACCACAAAAAGTAGATTAAAAGAAAATAGAAGATACTTAATACATCGCATCCCTGCATTAAGATCTGCTGTATGCATCTTGATTGAATTTCTTTTCCTGAATAACGCACTTCTGTTGTCCAGAAAGGATGACAAAGTTTGGAATTACTTCCACAGAGACTGCTTATCTAACAACTAAGCCACAAAATTGACTGTGTGTGTTCCTGAGGAAATAAAAGCGCTCACAGAACTAGTAAGGCACAGCATTATCTATCCATCCTTATCATTTATTATCACCAAATGTTATTTTACCTGCACAAAAAAGGAAACTAAGGTCTTGCTATGTATTGTGTAGTGTTATCTATGCTTTAAATGTGATAGTGCTATCTCACATTTTCAATACATGTGTGTCAGTCACTCTCCTATTGTGCCTATGATATGACTAAGGTTGGTATGAGAGAACTTATTATTCAGAGGTTGGCAGGTATTGGCTGTCCTGGTTTGCTTTGATTTTCCAAACAAAATCTGGGGTAATACCTTATGAAAATAAACTTCAGTCCACTATCATATAATTTCTTGGCTTTAATAACACTGTTTCATTTACAATTACCATTTCTTCATAGGCTCTGATGATTTATGATCTCATCCAGTTGTTTCACTAAACTGATCAAGCAACAGTGGATTCATATTAACCACTTGTTTACAGATATAGTAGGTATAAATCACTCCCTCCAATGTGACCTGTAAGTTTATTACTACATGAAAAACTTAACACCCTTACATGTTTCGGTCTCTGCGGACCATCTTCAGAGGGCAAATATCACTACAAATAGGAAACCACCTTCACATAAGTTGTTTAGACGTAAAGTACGTACACTTATATGTTACAATGCATAGTACACAAAATAGAACATCACACAAACACAGCAGTTTCCTGGGAATGTAAAGTTTTTAAAAATTATTTAAAATTTCTTGATGCTGTGTGTTTGTACTCAGGTTGTTTCAGGTGAGTAGGAGCTCTATAGATGGAAATAACACATATCTCATGAGCAGGGAGGTGTAACCTAACTGCACATACTTCTAAGTCCTTTTCTTTACAGTATTTTCCATATTTATATTAGTAGAATAGATAGTTTCACATACAAAAATACATGCACCCCCATTCTTAAAGGTGCTCCTACAAAAACTAGCCCCAAGTTTGAAACCCGTCATCAAAGTAGTGTCAATAGCAGTATCATGAAGATGGTGCTCGGTTAAGCAAACAATATGAGAGGAACCCAGAAATGAAGAGACAGATAATTTGTCGAGCTTACTTATATTATATCCTCTAATGTTTTGATGGTATATAACTAGATCTTCATTGCCTACTTTTAGGGGCAGTGGTTGCTTTATATGTTTCCTATTCTCCTTAAAACTAGGTTCACTATGATTTAATGCGTACACATTTAAGCGTTCCATAAAGAATCATTTCTAGATGTTGGTATTTTTCTATTGTGTTTAGAAATTTGACGAGTTGGCAGTTGGGCCAGTAAAGGTTTGGTTTTTAGGAGAACATCCATTTGTATTTCCTTGTCATGCCATTCAAGAATTATAGGTTTTGCATTGACTCTTTCCAACCGTGAAAGTATATGAGACACTAATTGGTCTGATAATATTTCCTTGCCTAGCCCATTTAAGTGAGAGCCCTGCCTTGTATGTAATAGTCTAAAATTTATCAAACATCACTTTTAGCTTACAGTTAAAGAACTAATTAATATGCTACCTTTGTATGGTGAGAATACTGTGACCCTTCAAAACTTAATAACCATCTTTATTTAAAACTTTATTCATTATGGGTTCCTCTGAAGCACTGATAAATATCTACCAGACTACATGGCGTCACATTCTTCACAGCCAGATCTCAAATCTCACATGTGAATTTGTATCTCTGCCCTAGCTAGGCCTACAGTTACTAGGATTCTAACTGATCATCCTGGAGGTGTAAGCACCAACAATAACATCCTAGTATCTGGTGGAAGGGACTGAGGAACATCATGAAAAATCAGTTAGAGTACTAGAACTTTGGACCAAGCACAGAACCCAGAACCTCCTAAATGTGAAGCAAGAGATCTAAACACTGAATGACAATGTTTAGTATTCTCATGCAGTAATCTCACTGCCAGAAGGATTCATCTGCACTGTGCACAGTTATCAAATATTTGAAAACAGCTCAGTACCTGTAATTTCACCTGAGGAAATCCATGTTCACTCTGTCACTGTCAAATCCAAATATATTTCTTGCTACATATAGGATCTGCTGTACCAGCCACAAATATATCAGTTTTTGGACTCTTCACTTTTATTTTTCACACCAGAAAAATTGTTATCCTTTGTGACCTTTTGAATTCCAGTGACAATTTCAAAGAACATTAGTTGAAAAGACATTTTCTCAATAAAACTGAGAGAATACAACACCTGAAATGTTGTGTAACTTCAGCCTTCAGGGTTGTCACATCATACGTTGAGAATGTTCCAATGTTTCAGCAGATATTGTAATTTCCATTTAAGGATGACTGTGAGGTGGAAGGGGTATGTGTGCTAGCTACTATGTAGATGTGGTGAGAGTAATCATCCACAAGCTGTTTAACAAAATGGGTATGTATCTCACTCTAATCAAGGTAAAACAACTTCCAACACAAAAATTTGGCATTTATGAAAAGACTGGCAAGATATCAGTTGTGGTCTCCAGTGCACTGCAAGCTAATTTTGGGTGAACCACCAATGCATGGGAGATTAGTAATATTTTTTGTTATTTATAACTTTCAGAGTTTCTGAAGTTAAGTTTCAGAGACCTGATGAGTGACAAAAACTACCAACATCTGACTGTTCCTAAACTCTCTAGTACAGTATTGTTAGAACAGTTGAAACAAATTATGATGGACTGAGAAAGAAGGATATGCATATAGAATTTCTTTGTGAAACCTCTTAGAGAATGGCCACTTAGTGAAGATGGAGATTGGAGCAAAACATTAAAATGAATCATAAAATGTAGGTTGTGGTATATACTGGACTGAAGTAGTCCGATTAAATCCAAATGCCAGGCATCTGTACTACCAAAGTCTGATGCTGTATTGTAATTATGCTATGGCAACAAAAAACTTCTCAGATTTTCTCATTTTTATTTTTAAATATAGATTCTAATACAAGTTTTTAAACATACTTACAAAAATGTGTTTTCATATAATTGTTCAAATTTGACTGAATTACTTACATCATGCTCTAGTACAATTCACTGTGAAATCCACTAATACTAAAATGAGCATGATGATTTCTCCACTACCACTTCAATGTAAAAATATTAATGAAACATATCCGATTCTACTATATAATTATGCGACTATTTTAAAATAATTTTCACATATTTTATACCAGCTCTAAGGAATGCATACGAAATTATCATTAAATGCAGATAATTAATTGAAGTATCTCAGGAAACTATCTTACCTCATTTAAGTACATGACTGACAGTATAAGCAGAACATGTAATTAATACTCATACCACTGCAAAGTACCACATTTCCATTTCCTTGGAACAAATTGTAGAAAGTTACTGAGCACTGTACTTAACAAATTTAATTCATATAAAACATGGATTATTAAAACTAGTCTGAATGCTTGCTTCTTTGAAAAATGGCTATTTCTGACAATTATGACATTTAAACAGACTCATAGTTTTTTCTGATGTGTCTTGCCAGCAAACATGCAAGAATAACACCCAACAGCTGAAACAGAAAAACAAAGTAATATATTACATACATTGTGAAATGGAGAGAATGTGAAACATGTATTTACTTAACAAAGAAAAAAGTACACCACAGTGTGACCAGCAAACATTATGTCACTTGAGGATTAAGAAATATATTGTCGCGTATTGGGCGTATATCGCGACAAATGACTTCACGAGGTATTTGATGTAGCGAATTTTATTTCACATTCGCACTTACAATCACCCAAATTACAGATTTACGATTACTGCTATCTGCAGTATCACAATTAGTACACTCCAAATGCCACAATACCACTGCCCCACTGACTGTGAATAGCCTTCGCTGCTCCTTATGTAGCTTTGATCGGACAATTGTCGTCTGGTGCCTTGTTGCTAGCCACGCTGTCCGGAGTTGTTGACTGCTGCCTAGCAACCGCGATATCCCTCGGTGACGTCACCGCGCGTTGCGCGTTGCATAGCTACCAGGATGTGGGGTGATTACTTGCCTATTACGCGAGCGCTACGTTACCGCTACGTGCAGCTGGGAAGGTAGGGGTCAACATGTCACACTGCTCCCTCCTTAAGGCTGTTCGTCCCGAATAGCCTAACGGTGCATCCCCGTTCCTTTTCCTCGGTGGCTGTGCTTGCGGTGTCTCCTGTTGTTTCGGCTACTCTTCCTGCAGCGACTATTCTTCGTCCGTTACATCCACTCCCCTCTTAAGACAAAGCTCGTCTCGAGCAGTTTCCTTTCAGCTCGCCAGAAGATCCAGTTGTATTCCATTCATCCATCGCTTTCATCCTTCCTTGGAAGGCCGGTACTTCTACACTACCGGTTCCTCCTCTGCTTGAAGTCTCTTTTTCCACTTTGGAGGTGGTCGTCCCCTCCACAAGGTCCAATCCTTCATCAGGTCTTTCGTCGAAAATTTCTTACATCAACGTAGCAGCTCTTGATGCGTTGTTTGCACTCACTGACGTCGTCGTTCCTTCTGGTCTTCCAGCCGCTTGCTGGTACGAGACCTTGGTGCCAAGTCCTTTCTCCGGTATCCGAAGGCTCCCTGGGGAGTTTCCTTCTTGAAGTCATTTCTCCAACGTCGTGCCACTGTCGCGCGACGGGATATCTTCCTGCAGATGGCAGCCAAATTTATCCGGGATGCATGATCGCCTTGGGTCCAAGATTTCCTGAAGATGTTTCTCCGGCGCCATGACATTCTTGCAGAGCAGGACACCCTCATGCTGACGACGGCCAATTTATTCTGGGATCCACAACTTTCCCGTGTCGAATTCTTCATATTTCGTCGATGACGGTCCCTGCGCCTTTTCTTCTTTGGTTCTCCGACCGGCATTACTTCGGCGTCTTGTACGGGTACCTCTCGTAGTTCTGCCGCCTCAGGTTTCCTGTTCGCTGAAGTCGGCTCTTCTTCTTCTGGACGTGCCTCCCTTTCTTGGCAGGCCATCGTCACTCCGACCGGTATCACTATGGGAACCTCTTCTTGTTGTGCCGTCGCAGGTATCGTGTCCACTG